ATAAAAATCTCCAGAGTTTGATAGATATTATATAGTGTTCCTGGATTGTTTAGTTGTTCACAATGAAAGAAATAGCCATCCAGAAACTCAGTCACCCAGGATGGAAGACATACAAGCTCACAAAGGACAGCAGAAGACAAGTTGTAAAGGAGCAATTGATGTTAAGAATGGTCATCCTTAGTTAAGTACTTTTAATTGTAGCTAAATGAACCACTTGAACCTGTCTTCATATTTATCAAAGAAATTCTATTTTTTGCATTTGCATAACTAAGATAGCAAAATATATTCAAGTAACATTATAGCTCAAGTATATTATTAGGTACATGGTTCAATATTGTTTCCTATGATCAGTCTTCTGTTCATTGTCATACTTAGGACCTGGGCTTTAACTGTATTTAAAACCTATAAATAGAGCCAGCATCTGTCCACATTTTATCTTCAAGAGAAGCACTAATGAAGTTAATTTCAGGTAAAGACTAATTGACTTAGTGGAGCCCATTGTATATGGAGAGATACCTTGCCCAGCCTAGACACAGGGGTGTGGGGGAGGAGAGGTACCTTGGCCCTGCCTCATGGAGATGATGGGACAGACTTAGTAGACTTCCTAGGGGAGGCCTTACCCTCTCTGTGGAGCAGACAGGAAGAGCAGGGGAGTGGAGGGAGGAGAGAAGGGAGGAGAAACTGGGATTGGAATGTAAAAAATAATTTTAAAAAAGAGAAAAAATTTCATGTAAAGAAAGACTTAGTAAAACGTGAAAGTGTTCTAAATATTGCAAAGAATATCTACAACATTTCTGTGATGCTGCACCGATAAATGGCACACTTACTGAAAGTAAAAATAAGTATTTATTGTAGAAATTACTCACAAGAGACCAAACAAGTAACCCAGATGAGCCGAGTAGTTTTCCGCCGCCGAACCGGAAGCCGAAAGCTGGAAAAAGAGACTGAGACTTCCGTTGTTCAGTCTTTTATACCTTCCTCCATAACACCCCTAGCCATGCCCAAAAGTGGGCCTGGCTAGTAACGTAGTTCACCGCCTACGTATGTATACGTCTTTATGTCTGTCCGTATACATCTTTAGTCATGCCTAAAGTGGGTGTGTTTAGCGGTGTGGTAAACTGCTCTTTTATTACCTCATCTGTATGCGGCTCTAATAAGTCACATGGCTAGTGGCAGCACACGGCTTCTTTCTACATTTCTGTATTTCATATTTTAATGATTTTTCATTCTGAGATTATTATGTAACTACATCTCCCCTCCATTCCCTCCTCCAACCCCTATCATGTCATCATCATTTTCTTTCAAATTCATAGCGTCTTTTTACTGTAATTGCTGCTGTGTCTATGTGTATTCCTAATATATATAAATACAACCTGTTCAACTTGCATTGGATTTGTATGTGTATATCAATTTTACTTATATGTGTACATCTTCAGGACTGACCATTTGGTATTGGATTCCTGGTCCATACTTGGAGTTTGGTACTGGCTCTGGGGGTTGGAGCAGAAGTGAGGAGTGGGGAGGATCAGGCAGACTCAGTAAATTAAACCCTGGAGAAGGATCCATATTTCACATTTTGTATGTTAGGATCTGAGAAAAAGTTTAAGGACTTTGGAACAAACAGAAAGCAACTATAAATTGTGTTATACAAACATTACAAATAATAACTCAGTTTCTCCTCATTAGTCCTAACTCAATCGATACAGCATTACTATAAATTCTTTAGGTGAAGACAGAATATAATTAAAATCATTCTTAGATAGACCTAGTTAAGTCCAAAAGTCATGGTTTAATACAATACTTATATTTACATTGATCTTTGTTTTGCACATAGAGACTTAGTCCTCCCCTTAGCCACCATGAATGGCATATTAACAACAATAATGTTGGTTATTACTATTTCTTGGGATGGCCCCTCTATGATGAGTGTTGGTATGAGAGACTTCAACTGTGTGTGTAGATTACTTAAAGATTAAATGCAGATATAAAATGTACTATTGCTATGCTCTTTCTGCTTCTTTGACTACTACAGAGGCTTCAGCTCTTCTAGCAACTTCTACTGTGCTCTATGGTTATTTCTTGTACAGGCTAATGCCTGGCATTGGTGAGTTCAGTGTGTATGTTTCCAGGATATCTCTTCAAGATAGTTACTATTTCTTTTGGCTTCAAAGAGATTAGTGGCTTAATCTCAAAGCCCCCAAACTAGTAATGACCCACATATGAGTTTATTTTATTCCACACTATAATTACAAAAACAAAAACATATCTAGCAAGACTAAATAAGGCAAACATAAGTTCCTAATTAACATCATAATTCTTAGAATTCTTAGAACAGCATCATGTCTGTGTCTTGTTTTGTGCTTATTGCTCTGACTCACATACTTGTTTACCAATTTCATGAGTATTTATGCTAAGAGTGAGTGAGCAATACTTTCCTTACAAGCTCTTTTCATTTCTGTTCTGGAAATGTAAGTGTAGCTGAATTCTTGGAAGTGACATCTGGATTTTGTTTTTGCAAAAATCATGAAAGATATATGCTGAAGGGGAAGTGGCAAAGAATGATTTCATATTTGAGTAAGGATCAAAGTGACCAGAAAAACACTGTAGCAGGAACATCAGCTAAGGTACAAAATGTCAAGGGTACCCAGTAGGTGATTTAACTTAAGGCAGTACAGACATTTCTCTTTCTCTTATATTGTTCTTCCCTAACTTCTCAATGTATTTGAGACTCTCACATCTTTTTTTCCCTCTTTTTTTTTATTTAATTTAAATTAGAAACAAGTTTGCTTTACATGTCAATCCCAGCTCACTCTCCCTCCCCCTCCTCTCCTGCCACCCTTCAACCCTCCCCCAATCCTCACTCCACTTTCCAAGGAGGGTGATGTCCTTCATGGGGGATCTCAAAAGTCTGTAATATGATCCAGGGCAGGACCTAAGCCCTCCCCCATGTGTCCAGGCAGAGACAGCATCCCTCCACGTGGAAGAGAGCTGATCTCCAAAATTTACAAAGAACTCAAGAAGCAAGTCTCCAAAACACCTAATGATCCAATTAAAAAGTTGGGTACAGAGCCGGGCGGTGGTGGCGCACGCCTTAATCCCAGCACTCGGGAGGCAGAGGCAGGCGGATCTCTGTGAGTTCGAGGCCAGGCTGGTCTAGAGAGTGAGTTCCAGGACAGCCTCCAAAGCCACAGAGAAACCCTGTCTCGAAAAACAAAAAAAAAAAAAAAAAAAAAAGTTGGGTACAGAACTAAATAGGAAATTCTCAATAGAGGTGTTTAAAATGGCTGAGATACACTTGAGAAAGTGCTCAACATCCTTAGCCGTCAGGGAAATGCAACTGAAAACAACTCTGAGATACCATCTCACTCCTGTCAGAATGACTAAAATCAAAAACACCAAGGACAGTTTATGTTGGAGAGGATGTGGATAAAGGAGAACAATCCTCCACTGCTGGTGGGTGTGCCAACTTGCACAGCCACTTTGGAAGTAAGTATGGAGATTCCTCAGGAAAATGGGAATCAGTCTACCACATGATACAGCAATTCCACTCTTAGGCATATACCCAAAAGATACCCATTCATACAACAAGGACATCTGTTCCACTATGTTCATAGCAGCATTATTTGTAATAGCCTGAACCTGGAAGCAACCTAGATGCCCATCAGCTAAAGAGTGGATAGAGAAAATGTAGTACATATACACAATGGAGTACTACTCAGTGGGAAAAAAATGGAATATTGAAATTTGCTAGCAAATGGATGGCACTAGAAGTAACCATCCTGAGCGAGGAAACCCAGTCACAAAAAGACAAGCATGGTATGTACTCACTAATATATGGATTTTAGGCATGAAACAGGGGAGTGCCAGCCTATGACCCCACAGCCAGAGAGTCTGGGAAACAGGGAGGATCCTAAGAGAGATATGCATGGTAGCCCAGGGAAGGGGAACAGGAAAGAATCTTATGAAGGGATTGGGATCACCGGGGCGGTGGGGGGAGGCGGGGGGGGTGAGGGGCAGATAAGGAAGCTGGAAGCCGGAAGAGAGGAGGTGAAGAGGAGGGGAGAGGAGGGCATGGGGGAACAGGAAAGCTGAGTCAGAGGAAGAATAGAGGAGAGAAGTAAGAGAGATACCATAATAGAAGGAGCCATTATAGGTTTGAAGAGAGATCTGGCACTAGTGAGATGTCCAGAGACCTACAAAGATGACACCAACTGGCAATCTAACCAATAGTGGAGAGGCTACCTTAAATTCCCTTCCTTATAACGTGATTGACAACTTCCTTGTGTGCCATCCTAGAGCCTTCATCCAGTGGCTGAAGGAAGCAGAGGCAGACACCCACAACTAAACACTGAACTGAACTCCTGGAACCCCATTGCAGAGAGAAAGGAGTGATGAGCAAAGGAATTAAGACTTGGTGGGTGAAACCCACAGAAACAGCGGACCTGAATCAGGGGGAGCTCATAGACCCTAGACTGAGAGCTGGGAGGCCAGCATGGGACTGATCCAGACCCCCTGAACGTGGGTGTCAGTGAGGAGACCTCAGCATCCTTTGGGGCCTCAGGCATCCAGAGACTCCCACATCTTAAAAGCTATAATGGCAAGAAGAACTCCGACTCTTCCTTGACATCTTCAGTTGAGTTGTAAACAACATCTGGGACCTGTTTTTTCCAAGGCAGTACTTTCTGCTGTAGTGACTATTGCATTTCAGAGAAGAAAATATCTATTTCTTTTATAGCATATTTCATGTTGAACACTTGTGACATGTAATATTAGCTTTTGAGAAATCATTTCATATTCATGGGCTATGCTTTAAAACAAAAGTACAGACAGGGAGCCAGAATCACAAACCATGAAAATGTTAGGGTGGTTGGGAAACTTTTACCCAACCACTTATGGTTCAGGAGAAAAAAACACAGATGTGTGTGTGGTATGAAGTTTCTGAAAGCCATTCAAACAACTAAAGGACTAAAACTAAGACATTCTAAGGCCAGACTAATGACTTTGTCTCACAGGTACATTTATTAATCAATGTTATGATATTAAGGATTCTACACTATTTAGTAATAATTATTCAAGACACAATAACAATTATAGTTGCTTTTAAATAAGTTGTCAGTTGTAATCACATATTAAATTATAGTGTGCCTGAAATATAAACCTTTAACTTTAAACAAGTAACAACTCCTTTCATTGAAAAAAAGAGAGAACATTGACAAATACAGGCCAATATTTGTTGATACCTCAAAAACAGAGTATATAGGTTACAGTGACCCATTTAGATGTCTTAGATATTTGGTTTCTTGCATGGTTTACAAAACATTTTAGAATAGAGAAATACTTTAAGTCAGGTGGAATTTTTATGGAATTTTAAGAAAAACCAACTCTCTTTTGTGCATTTATATTTCAAAGAGCTTCGATTAGTATATTCATCTTGGCTCAGGTCTCATCAATAAAACATTCAAAATATCTTAATATGGGATTAGCTAATAGATCAAAACCACAAATGAATTCTGTCTTCATTGTCTTCTTCACCAGAGGTAGTTGTTTCTGTGGAGCAAGCCATCCATGAGACTTGGTGTCAGTTCACATGGCTGGTTGAAGTTATGGTCTCTAATCAAGGCTCTTCTGTGACAATGGAGAGGCTCCATTACTGCTGGGTGCAGGCCCTGCAGTGAAGACAGCTGACCCTGATCCATCTCCAAATAACATATTTATTGTATCACTCTCCAGGGTTGTTACTCTTCAAGCCAGAATGTGGAAAGCTTTTATTCTTCATTAACACACTAAGCCTTCGACATCAGTTCCCTCCTGGATCCCATGCAAAGGCTGGAACGACTCCAAGCTACTCTGTCCGTGAACACTGATAATCTTACATGCATTAGAACTGCTCTCAATTTGGCCACTACTCTGTGATTAGGTCGCATTCCAGGATGGTACTGTATTTGCAGAAGCGAAGGCTGAGGAAACAGACCTGACACTGCTTGCTGCTGCATTTAGTAACACTGTTTACTATATGGTGCTTCTTGTTTGTCCAAGTGCTTGCCTATGAATATACATTACATTAGCAAAAAAGGAACAAATGGGGTGATGGTAAAATTCTAAAATGACCCCCAAGATTCCTTCCAAAATTATGTCAGTTCATGCACCATATCTTAAACCATCTCCTTGCTTTGAGTGTGGGCATGACCTGTTGGCCACAAAGGATAGACAGGCATGCGCAGAGGATCTTACCCCAAATGACTTTAGATCTTATCAAATGGACAAGTGAGATTGCCTATCACACCTGCCTATCAATAAGATGCCTAACTCAAAATGTAATGTATCACGTCCCTGTTACTCTAGTTAACTTGCTTGAGATTCCTTAGCAGCTTTGAGAGTTTGTCCTGCTGGCCCTGAAGAAACACATGATACGTGCTGGGGCGGGTTCCTGAAGAGATCACAGAATAAAGCATTCCTGGGATATGAGAGCAATTCCTGGTGGAAATGTAACAAGAAAGCAGAAATCCTAGCCAGACAGCTACAAGGAAACAAATTCTGAGTGAGCAAGGAAGTAGATTCTTCCTTGAAGGCCTCTGGATGAGAACAGTCTGGCCGAAACCTTGATTTTGGCCTTGTGAGAAAACTCCATCTAGACGCCTGACCTACAAAGCAGCTGCTATAATAAATGGGTGTGTATAAATCCATGAAACATGTCCCTTTGTTGTACAAGAACAGCAAGCTAGTAAGAGCAGAGCAGACAGTGTAATCAGCACTTCCCTTACGGGGAGCCGGTGAAGAAGGGTGAACAGAGGAGGGGAATTTGATTGTGAGGATGAGAGGCGGAGAAATGGCTTAGTGGTTAAGAGTACTTGCTCTTGTGAAGGGCCACATCTGATTCCTATCACCCACCTGTGGCTAACAGCCACCCAGAATTCTAGTTTTAGGCAAGCTGGTGCCTTCTGACCGCCAGAGGCACCAGGCATGCATATGGTGCACATACCTACACACATGCATGCCAAACCCACATATACATAAAATAAATCTGAACAAAACTGAAAATCAGTTGTACCAGACTTTTTTCTTTTGGGTCACCGACCTGCTCTCAAATCATGACACGGAGACTTATTGGCTTTGATTGCTTGGACTTAGCATATCTCTTTTCTGGCTAGCTCTTTTAACTTAAATTCACCTGTTTCTCTTGATCTACCTTTTGCCTCAGGCTAATCGCCTTTCTTCTGTATATCTTACTCTCACTGCTTCTCTGCGTCTGGCTGGCTGGTGGCTGCCCCGCTTCTTGCCCTGAGTATGGATGTCCCTCTTTTTCTCCTCTTTCTTTTCTCATTCTTCCTGCTCCAGAGCCTCCTGTTTATTCTCTCTGCCTGATAGCCCTGCCGATCTATTCTCCCGCCTAGCTATTGGTCAAGTAGCTCTTTATTAGACCAATCTGGTGCTTTAGGCAGCAAGGTGAAACAAATGCAACACATCCTTACATAATTAAACAAAAGCACCATAAACAAAAGTAACACATCTTTACACAGTTAAAGTAATATCCCACAGTGTAAACAAAGATAACACATCCTTGCCCAGTTAAAATAATACTCCACAGCAATTAGTGATAGAACTGGCTGGGATTAGTATATTAGATTCTCATTTATATTCCAGCACTTTCCACAATAGTCTACACTAATGGATATTATTGGTAGATTTTTCTTTATCCCTACTGTTTTAATTACTTTTCTGTTACTATGATAAAAATGCCCCATCAAAATAACTTGGGAAGGAAGGATTTCTTGTAGCTCCCAATTCAAGGTTATAATCCATTACTATGGCGAGAGCTTGGGGTAGCTTGTCACATTGTGTTTCACAGTCAAGAAGCAGAATTACCAGTGCAAATGTGGGCTCCTCTAGTTTTCTCAGTTACATACAGTGCAGGACTCAAGCCTGGAGAATGGGAGCCCCGACAGTGGGCAGGTCTTCCTACTTTAGTTAACCTAAGAAATCCCTTATGCGCATTTGTTAGAAGCCCATCTCCCAGGTGATTCTAGATCTCAGGAAATTGACGATTTAGATTAGCAATTTCATTTACAACCAGTAAGAAGTGTGCTTTGTGTCCTTTACATAAATTAAAGCAAAACAAAACCATCATTTATATATTCTGGTATTAGTTCAGTGGTGTAATGAAAACATCAATCAAAATCATACTAAATTTTGAGTTGGCAACATTTTAAAATAATCATGAATCAAGATCTAGTCTTCATCACTATCCAAGCAATATTCTGAGCAATCAAGATCAGGAAATCTGATAGGCAATTCCACCCACTTCTTATATTGTTTTCTTGATGAGTTATTTTTGAAATCCACTACAAAATTCTTTATTTTGAGACAAGGCAAATCTAAACCTTTGTGTACCATCATTGTTCCCCAAGCCTAGAAAACAAAAGAGAGAGAGAGGAAAAATCAAATATCTATTCAGTTTATCATTTCTTTGGGCAAAGTAAAACTGAACCCACTAGAGTTTACTCACCTGGCCACATTTGCAGATAATCTCTCCATTTGCTTGATAATCAGCAAATTTCTTTTGCAGCGCTTTGTTTTCTCTTACAATGTAGAGTCTCCTAAAATGATTACATAGGAAGGATCACTGGTGAGACTTGACAAAATGACAATAGGCAGCCATGGGTTCATAGGACTTGATGATCACCCGCGTGGTGGGTGATGATCTCCCCAGGATTTCTGTGACAAATCAGATGGATGTCACCAACCTACACATACTTCACAAGTGCCACACTGTCTCTGGGTCTCCTTTGAAGTCTGTTATTATTTTAACTTTTCAATCATTCAAAATAATTGAGAACAGATGTGGACATCTGTAAATTAAGTGTCTTGTATCCAAATTGCTTTGAGTCTTAGCTTTACTCCTTGCCTCAAGGGAGATTACTTTAAAAACAGACACAAGAGATGAGGCTATATATCAGGAACTACAAAAGGGAAAGTTGTGAAGAGAAAGAAAACCTCACTTTCGCTATGTAAACAGAATGTCTACAGTGCCATTAACCTCACCTCTCCTAAAGAAATTTAAACATGGATCTTTCTGCACTCACTTGAATTCTGGTGTCATGTTGACATGATGCATCTTCTCAATTACGTGGATGTTTTCTCCTGAGCAGACTAACATATTACAATTTTTGCAGAGTAGTGTTATTAATGACGGATTGTTATTGTAATGCTTTGCAATACTTCTTTTGACTTTCATTTTCTTTTCCAAGATACTTTGTACCTGTAATTTCAAAATCTGTGTGGAGAAGAGAACAGTGAATTAAATATTTCTCATAGTTTTGTGGAATTAAATGAGATGAAATTTACATATCTTAGATAGATTGTACTCTAAAAGATAAACATGAAGAGACAACAGCACCAGATGAACTTAGTATACCATCTTTTACTCTAGTCATTGTCAACCTAAGTCCAAATACAGTGGAAGGATGGAGTAAAAGGTGTTGGGTCAAGTGGTGGGTGGTGTTTGAGTTCATTCTGAATGCCTTGTATAATTTAAACTTTTCAGTAAGACTGACATTTTATGATATGAAAAACAGACATTGTCTTGTGTGTCACTTTGCATCAGTGGTTGCCTATACACTGTTGAAAGGGCATTTAAAACTGGAAGAGTGGAGTTGGTCTCTCGGTAACTGACATGCAGCAATTCTTTCTGGGAGCTTTGAGTATAATGGCACTGGGCACGGTCCACTTCCTTGCTAGTCTTTCTCTTCTACCCTGAGAAGTCTTGCGAGGACAGATCTCTTGCTCAAGGGAGACTGAAAAAGGTAGTCCCTCCTGGAGGCCCTAAATGGATCATCTGTTGTCATTTGAATACTGGTGGCACCTCTATGTTCATGCACGAATTGAATCAACAAAGTCTTGTGTTAATAGTGTTAGAAGAAGTGAAACTTAATCTAGTTGCATGCTTAGAAATGGGGCCCTTGGGAAAAGACTGTCTTGGATTAGGATTTAGAGCACAAAGAAGTTCAGATACATATGCATTCTTGAACAGGGGGTGAGGCCTTACAGAGCCTTCCATGTTCTTAGGCCTCATGGCTTTAACTCTAAGCCATACTCATAAACCTCTTTATGTTGTAAATCAGCCTACCTTGATTATTTTGTTAATGTAATCAAAGGCTAGCTAGTACAATGTTTGAGTCTATAGGTGGGGAGACACTGACCTGTGAAGGGTAGATTGTCCTGTGATTGACCTAAACAACTTAGTCTTAAAACATCAGCTTTTATAAGAATCTCACTGAATCATTCTCTTTAGTCATAAATATGAGGAAATAACTTCATAGTAAGATTATTTAGTGAAAAAAATTGGTTTGCTTTATATTTAAGGGGGTTTAAAATGTATGTTTGTATGAAAACCTGGGCCAGGAAACCTTGGAGTTGGTTATATACTTTGCACACCAATTTGAAAGCATCCCTTCCCTAAAACTCTATTTAGGGTAGAGCCAATTCTAATGTTAAGAAACTAACATTCACACCCATATGCAAGGGTGTGAATTTTCTTCTAAATGGATTGTTTGCTATTATAGGAGTTACAGTCTTTACTTCAGTGGTACGAAAGTTTCCTGAAATATTGTATAAATATATTCCTTTTCCCCTCACTGTGTTCCTTCTCCCAATTCAAATAACTGTTAGTAAGCTGAAATTCAGCTATATGACATAATGCGTACATTTTAATCATTCAGAACTGACCTCAATGTCAATCTCTAAGTGTAACTTATCAAAAGTAGTCATGTTGTTAAATGTCTTTCATCATACTCCACTACGCTGAGTTTTCGTTTGGTTTTGTGTGTTTCTGAAACAGGAATCACTCTGTAGCACTGAGAGTAGTATGTATTCCAAGATAGCCTCAAATGCATGAGGTAAGCCTCTCGCCTCAGCCTTCTGAATGCCGGGATTACAGACATGAACCACCATGCCTGGCTACACAATCCTATCCTAATTCCACAACTCATGTATGATATACATGGTGCCATTAAATTTGTGTTTATTGTTGCTCTTCCCCCCCTCTCCTCACCGCACACATTGCCACCTCTACTTCACATGGCAAGGGGATTGTATTTTGCTTGCCACCGTGTTCTCTGTTTTCAGAATACTGCCTGACAGACAATAGGTGTTTTATAAATATTTCCGTGTTTGTACACATGGATTGGATCAATTTGAAACTACTAGGTAGGTTCCAGTGAGTGAGTTGCACCAGTCTTTCTGGAAAAGGGCAGCCAAATTTAAATTACCAAAGTTGATGTTTGGTTTCCAGGAATGATCAAAACTCCCTCATCATTTCCTGCCCTCCCATAGATCTTGGGGCTTTGTGTGATTCTGGACTCAGAACAAATGACAACTTAGCACAATTTTTCTGTCTGGAGAAATAGCCACACAGACCTCAGTGGCAACCAAATATAGCCATTTTCAGATGAAAACCGAATTCAGCAGCGGCCAAGAACAATACCTCACGTGCATACTCCTCTGGCTTCATATTTTGAACCCGGTTTATAGCTTTATACATCATCTTCTCTCGGAAATCATTAACAATCTCCCGTTCCGTAACTCCAGAACCACTGCTGGTAACCAGGACATAGGTGCTTTCATCAGCTCTGGCTCGACCACGGGCCTGAGAACAAAAGGAAGGAAGTGCTGAGTCTTGCTATGAGCTGTCCGAGTTTGGGCCTGAGAAGATAGTCTTTGGTGAGTATCACAATCTCCAAATGATCTCTTTATTCTTAGTAAAGGTAGTTATTACCCATGGCTTGTAGATAAACCTTTCAAATTTAAATGTTCTTTAACACAATGTTCTAGAATGATTTTTGCAACTCGAGGAAGCCAAAATAATATACCACCCTTATAGCCCTACTGTACCCTGAGCAACTGTCAGAAACCACGAAAACCTTGAGCAGTGGCTTGGACCAGTGAATCCATCTATTTGGAAGAGGATGAATGAGGACAAGGCACATCTCTGGCCTTGGCACCAGGGCTTCTGAGCACACTACAGTGTTCCTGGCAGCCTGCCTTGGACTTTGTACATATTTCTCCAGGAAAACATACACAATAAAGAGTCAAATTTCTGTGGGCTCCATAAGAAGGAGAAGGTTTGGCACATCATTTGTTTTTGTTCTTTAAAATGCTTGTGTAAACAACAAAATATGATGATAGCCACCTCCCAGGTGCCCCCTCCGACTTCTCACAGGGCTCTTCCCCTCCTCGCCATCCACCTCCATGTCTTTTTGATTTTTAATGACCACTGCAGCCATCTATTCTGTGCTGCCCATACATGCCTGGGTATCAGGCCACTCAATGGCGCATTATCAACCTAGCACTGACAAGGTGCAACTTGCCAAACCAGACCTATCACTGGGAGTGATAGGGACACATTTTTAATAGTAAGTAAGCTTGGGTGCCTAGCTCAAGAGCTTATCAACTATTCTTAGGGCAAACTGCTTTCATATTGTAATCAGAAACTTCTGACTTACGGATCACTTCCTGAAATAACCTTGCTTTCTAGCAGGATAGCTGCTAATGACCTTCATCTTCAATAACTTGTCATCTACCAACGGATGAAATAAAACCCCTTCCATGTTTAAAGAATAATGTCTTTGTGATAACTTCTCTACGTACCATGACATTGTTAATGTGAGTAAGAGAGCTGTGAAACTTCAGTCCAAACTGAGAATTATTCATTTACTTATTTTAGTTGTAACCCCACTAAATATTTTATGGAAAACTGAATGTGTAGAAAAGTTGAGTGGCTGGAGGAGGAAAACACAGATCTGCTGGGCCCCCTGAGGTCTGAATGGGTTTCTTTGTCAGACATTTGTGGACAGTGTGGTTCACATTCCTGATCCCACGAGGGGCTCGCTGACATCTTAAAACTGAGGAGGCCTCTTGAGCCTTGCAACGGGGCCAATATTATGCATGGTCTTGGAAAATCTCAGGACATAGAAACAGCAACTAAAGTAGGCTTGTTAGTGAAATTATAAGAGGTCACCATAGTAGTTCCACAAACAGCAGTCATATAAAAGGCTCTCGCTTGCAGTTCTTTAAGATTGGTCTTTTAGCAGAAACACAGATGTATACTTAAAGCTAAAGGGGTTTTGTGTTGTTTTAGTATAAGGGAGGAGGAATCCACACAGGAACACAGGGATGAGAGGGAACCCATTAGTTAGCAATCTCTGGGCATACCTGGACCATGGCTATTTCATTAGTGACAAGACCGTAACGGATAACGATATTGCATTCTTTGATATCCAGGCCTTCCTCTGCCACTGTAGTAGCGATCAGCAGATTTATTTTTCCAGTGCGAAATTTACTAATGACTTCTTTTTGTTCATTCTGTGGAAACATTTTAATAAATTAAATTTTGTGATGCTAAACACATTCAGATCTTCTAATTAGGGGAAGAAATAATAAATTGCAACTGGTCAGTGTAAATCAGAGGATTAGATCATGCATGGATTTGCTGCCATCTGTTTTTGGCAATGAACAAAGACATGATGGTGAGACAACATTTGATTTCCAATCTGGGATTACCACACAATAACAAAAATATTTCCATCCTGCAGTCTGGAGGTGGGAAGAACATTCTTTATGCCAAGGAAATAAATTGATGGGCGATTTGGGAGGAAGAAAAGGGAGAGGGGTTGCTGGCTGAGGAAAGGCTTGGCAAGGACAGGCTAAAATAGGGTTTACCTTTCAATACATTATCCCAAGAGTCCGATACTTAGGGACTAAAATTCACTGAACCATTTATATCAGTTTTGAGACAGAGAAAATTTCCCATGGATATTACAGTTGGTCACTTTAAGCTAATCATCAGAAAGGTGGGGAGGGAACACCTATGGAACATTCCAGAAAGAATACAGGGAGGGGAACTGAAACAGTAGGAAGCAGCGCTACTCTTTAATTCCACTTTGAGGAAGATTCAACTTTAGCCAGAGGAAATATAAGTTCTAGTCAAAAGACAGTCTAAATGAAAAGTGGATGACTGTGTAATTAAAGTCTAATCATAGTAAGTAGTTTTTAAAATGTGAGCTTCAGAGGTTAAGATAAGTCTATTGTAATCTGACCTCTAGCCTTTGCATTGGAAAAGCAGCTGAGCACAGATACCACCTGACAGGGACACTCGGTGCTCCTTTATTTCCTCGAAAGCCTCATCAAGCTGCCAGCTTCTGGGGCATTCAGTGCCTGTTTTCATCCTTATAAATTAAACAAAACTAGCCTTCTAGACCAAGCATCTGTTCTCTAGTGCCCTACCCTTTCTTCTTAAAGGTAACATGAGCTTTCGTTTGTCTCATCACTGTGAAAGAACATGACAGAAAGATCCCTGACAAATCTGTGGCCACTTCTACTTTATTCCTTAACATACATTGACTTTTTAAAAAAAAGTCACATCTTTGATTTTTTAACATTCATCTGTGCCTTCATTTGAAACAGTACTTGAATATGAGATTCCCGGCTCAGGGATAGGCCCTCAGATCAAGAATGTGCCTAACTGTATCAGAATGGATGAGTGAGCTCCAGTTCACAAGGTGAGCCTGGCAGCCCCTAGCTTTAAACCCCATAAGGACCTAAGCCCAGGGAATGAGCAGCTATTGAGTGTCAGAGTGGGGAATTTCAAGTTCTCTTTTCTTAAACACCAAGTGGATTTCGTTTGTTCCATTGTGTGAAACAATGATGGCCACCAGTGAAGTATCCCCTCCCCAAGCAAGACTCAAGGGAAATTTAGCTTTCAGAAGAACACTCAAACAATATGCATGTTTAAATGTTTACACAGTTTACAAGTACCTTTTTTTTCTCTCAGAAGTAGTTTTTACTGGGCACACAATAAATAATATAACTTTTAAAAATTGGCAAAGGAACAGAAACCCCAAAGCCCTATCCTAACATAACCAGTACATTAATTCTTCCAGGTTCTTATAGAGTTCACCTTACAAACGTTTGCTGTACAGTTTTATTGTAATCCATGCATCCTGTGCAGTTTTGAATTCCCTCTGGATTTTATATTGCAAATATTTCTTTGTGATGCTCTTAAGGTAAACGTTACTCATTTTTACAAGAGGCACCAAATTTCAGAAGTTCCTGTAACTATGTAAAAGGCAAGGGGAATTCTGAGGTGACACTTAATGTATTAGCCTACCATTAACTCAAAATGCCACAAACAAGAGCCCCCTGTGAGTCTGTTTGTGAGATGGCGGAAGAATTGAGAAACATTACAAGCAGTTAGAGAAGACTAGCTCAGGTATAAGAAACGAACCCTAAAAGGATGCTGTACCTGTGTCATGGGCTTGACTTCACTGCTGTGTCCTGCTCCAATCAGATGATGTGCTTTGACTCCAACCTCTGCAAACTTTTCATTTTCCGTAATCCACTGGGAAAGTGCATAGGTACTCTGACGCGTTTTTGTGAAAATTATTCCTCGAGATGATTCCTCAGTCTTTGTGAATTGTTCCAATATAGTTTTTCTTAATTTAATGAGTTTTTCATTTTCATATTTTGGGTTTTCAGCTAATTTTCTCAACATTTTCTTGTTATCTTTAAAAGTAATTATTAATGTTATTAGCTTGATTTAGCTACCCCACTAAACACACACACACACACACACACACACACATGCACACACCCTATTGTGCACCACACATATGCCTAATTTCTATTGGTTAATTAAAGAAGAAATGAACTTAAAACTATTAAAAATCAAATTAGTTTGCATCAATAAGTTAAACAAAAATTTTACACTGGCAGATTTTACATAATGATGCACTAAGACATGACTCATCCATAGGTAATATTGTAATAATTAATTAATTAATTGCATTGTCTTGGCAATGAAACTGAGTGATCAAATGATTAATTATGATCACATAATTAAAAGTTAACCTATGATATCGTTATCAACCATAGTCTTCATGAGAATCCTTTTCTTTTAAGATGAATTTTGTAGGTGCTCTGGAAAACTCAAAGAAAGCAGTGAGTCCCTGTCTGAGAGATAGGGGCATGGGCTCTGCGTTATACTGAGTCTTACCAAAGAATAAGTTCATGAGAAATTCGTCTGTGTCGTCCAGTTTCAAAGATTTCTTTACATTGCCCTTAAGTTCATCATCGTAACCGCTAGCATCGTCTTCACTCTCATCGCTGTCCTCTAGGACTGCGAACTTCTTTTCTTTCTCATCGCTGTAGAAAGCTTCCAGGTGGTTGTATGCGTCAATCATTCGGATCGTGTCGTTGATTTGGAGGGCTTCGTTGTACTTCCTCAAATGTTCTGCACAGACGCGGTCTTTGCGATTTCCATCTTTAGCGGCTGTGGAAGAGTAAACTCTGTGCGTGAGGCAATGGGCAGAGAACCGTCCTAAGACTACATTGTAAACTTGAATAGGGTTATGGATCAGAAGCCAACTTCACCGTGGTGCTGGAATGGGCAAGGCTCCTTATGTGCCCTGGGTTCTGAAGGGAGTGGTTTTCAGTGCCAAAGCTTGCTGCTTGAGCTCAGTGGGAACAGGAGTATGGACCTGAACCATATCTGAACAGCTTGAAAAACACGTCAGGGAAATTGCCTTTGGAGACAGAGCTGCTGATAGCTGCCTTAGTACTTTATATCTAATAAATGAAAGTGAAAAGTGGATGAATTGACACCTCTTTCCTTAGATGAGGAGCTTGAATATGTGTGGGCTTGCCCTACACACAAAACAGAAATTCTACTGGATGTTCCATCTGCCTTCAGATTGCTTCTGAGACTGAGAAGATCATCTAAAATCTTGGTGTAAACAAGGAAACAAACGGTTAGATCAAAACCCAAATTACCTTTTTTTTCCATTTGAATGGCCCATTGCTCATAATGCTGGGTTCCAAAATCTGACATTGGGCTCATTTGGCAGTAAGTTTGGATGCTTGTCATAATTTCCAGAAGTTTCTCTTTAAATGGATCCTAAAAGCAATTTTACATACATTACTGAAGTTGTTTGAAATGGCATTGTCTTTACTAAATCAATTTGCATATTATAATGTAACTGGTTCAGAATCACTAACTAGACAATGTAACACAATGGTCCCTGATCGCTTCTTTGTTCTCTACATTTGGTTTTATCCTTTTGCCTCTACCTTCAGGATACACCAATCCTGATACCATAAATCTCTATCATAAAATTGCCAATTTAAATTTTTAAAAAGTAAAGTGAGTATTACCAACCTTGAAAGCTAAAGGCAATTACAAATGTTTATTGCATTAATGTCACAATTATTTAGAAAGTCTTCAATTGTATTTAGGTAACATTCCTATGTGAATACCAGGTTTCACTACTATTACTTCCAAAATAAAGCAATTGACATCGTTTGGAAAACATCCAGATAAGAAAGCATGTATGTTACATGATTCAACTTGGATAAAGTTCAAAATCAGTCAAAGCTAATAGTTTCCCTTGGCATGGGGACGGGGAGGAGAAGGACCTTGTGATGTACTGTTTCTTTATCTGAATTTTTTATGTTTTGTCAATTTATGAAAATCCATGGGCACATTTTGTGCTTTTCTCCACACATCAAACTTTAATGAAACGTAATTTTAAAAGTTAAGGAAAAAGAATGGCAATTCTTCTCAAAAGAATATCCAGTAAAATGTCTTTGGGTGATCATGAATAAAATCACGATAAGTTTGAGTTTATCAGGTAAATCGCAGTGACAACAATGTAACAATGAGTATAGTATAATCAATATGCCAGCATTGCTCTATTTCAGAATAAAAATAGGTACACTATAGAGGTTGGCCACTAACACTTGTTTGGTGCCTACAACATATTGAGTATGACTGCACACATATAATCCCAATAGCCTTATGAGATGGATTCTCAATGGAATTAAACTTATCATACATAGCTAAAATTTTCCAAGCTTTTAATTCTACAAAAGAAAGAATTGGAATAATCTACCAAACATAAAGTCCAAACTGACTATAAGCTTATTTTTTTAATTAATGAAAATATTCACCAGAAAAGCATCAGTACATTAAACATTTCACTTTTTTACAATCAGTGTTTTCCAGAGAAAGAAAATACACAATGAGGATTCCCATTGGTACTCCCAAGTGCTACAAAATGGCTCCCTCGAATGTCAGAAAACCAATCCTGTAAAATGCCGAGACAGAAAGAAGGTGATAACATCTATAACCCCTCCAGTTTAGCTATTCAATGCTCCCCAGTTCCACTCCTCCAAGAATCATATGTAGCTAAGTACTGGTGCCTTGTATCAATTTTTAACAGTATAAAATGATGGCTTTTGATAAAAATGTTAAATGGAAATATTCAGTCAGTGAATGTAAAATAGCCCTGCCATCTTCCAATTCCATACAGTGTTGACAGACAGGGAAATGTTTAGAACATACTTCTCTGGTGTCATCAGCAATCACAAACTTCTTGCATGGCTCCTTTATTTGGTGTTTAAGTTGACCAAGATTCTCCTTCACTGTTTTAATGGTAAATGCATCAAGATTGGCACATATCTGGAAAAGAGACACTGCAAGTGTTCTTACAACTGAATGTATATTTTTGTGTCAGTAGAGTGTAACACGAAGTTTTTAGCATAAATACATAGCATCACATTTTATCCAAATAATATGCAACATTATTTATTAACTATAGCATTTTAGCAATAGTTATTTAGCAATAATATTTGTTCTGGTGTCTTCTGAAAGTATGTTCTAATTCCTTTTTGTTTTTTAAATTCCAATTTGTAGCTGTTATATAGGACTTAGAAAATAGAACAATTTATGCAAATTAACAGGATAGTTATATGGTATTACCTGATTCTATCAGGCTTCCGAATTCACTGTCATGCTTATATTCATGCATTATAGCCTCATTCTTTTCTACATACAAAGAAAACAGCACAAAGGGAGGGACTGCCTTACACTTTATGCCTAGATCCTAGGTAGAATCTAGGCCTTTATTCCCATAATAAGCTATATCTTGGAGACAACCCTTTTCTGAATGATTTTTACTTTAATAATTTCTACTGAATTCAACCTATAATGAGAAGTTTCTGAGGTACTCTGATGATGTCACTTGAGATCAACAGCAGCACCCCAATTTGGGGAAGTTGATGAGTGCATCTTTAATAAAAGATCATCCTATTTCTATTTCCCACTCCCTGATTTAGAGACAGGGTCTCACTCAGCAGCATTAGCTGGCCTGGAACTCACTATGTAAACTCGCAGCAATCTGCTTGGCTTTGCTTCTCACTTGCCAGAATTAAAGGCTGGAACTACTACACTTGCCTCTTTTTCTCTTTTAATTTGAGTAACCTGTATCCTAAACTGACACATAGTGGAAAACGAGACAGAAAGCATGCTGCTTTGAAAGTCATGGAGCAACAGGCCATCAGGAATGAACCCTATCAATATGTGTAAGTTTATCTGTGTTTCTGTATCAAGAAGATCGCGAAGTTCAAGTGTAGAAGGAAAATAGCTGCCCAGGCATTCTACTCAACCCAAGCCTCATTCGTTCGGGGTTGTGAGTCTAGCCATCAATGGCTGAGCCATCTCTGTAGCTCTTCTCATTACTTATAAGCCAGCATCCTAACAATTACACTATTGCTTTGTATTGCTTGCATTTATGAAGGATATCACATGTTGTAGAATACTGAGGCTATTTTCTACAGGCAAAGCAAATAGCCTCCATTTCACTGATGGCATTGGCACTTGAACTCTCAACACTACTTAAAATCCTAAGATGCCTAGGCATTAGACACAGCTTGTTTGGTCGTTCACACACTCAGTGACTTACATTTAAAATATGTTTATCAGCCTCAGCTTGCTTTTTGGCTCCTCCAACACCCGGTGAAGCTGTCAGTCCTAGAATCTGCGGCAGGTGAACTACTGGTTTGTTTTCTTTCTTAAGGCTGTTGTTCTTCAACTTCTGCTTCAAATACCGCCTCATGATATTGTTGTATACTGCCTCCTTATTGGTGTGATGACATTCATCAATGATAATGAGGGAAAAATCTTAACAAAAAAGGTAGAAGGTCTGTTTACCCAAAATGCCATGGTACAATAAGACATACACCTTGATGCTATAAAGGAATGAGCTGCCATTGAGTGTCTTTCATCGGGCAGAGTATTGGTACAGCCCTACCTCAATCTGCTGGGATGACTTTACCCATTATTTCCACACATGAAAACAAAGTTTGTGTATGGTAACTATGATTCTGTTCCTATTAGCTGTCTCAAGACAAGATTCAGAAAGTGCTAGTGAAATTCACATCTTTCTTGCAAATAAACAAACAACAACAACAAAAACAAAATCTTCCCAGTACTCCACTTTTGTTCTTGAATAAAATTTTAATTTTAGACCGACAAATTCTATTTTTATTACACTAAGTGAAAAGTATACTATTTAAAGTGGGATGATTTTGTGTTGTTTATACTTTGCATTTAATTATTGTGATTTCCTTTTACTTCTCCATCTTTCTCCTAATCATTCAACCCTTCCAAATAATGTGAACAGGCTTGTAGTTTTATTCTACAGTAAAGAAGATAGTTGGAGCTGGGTGGTGGTGGTACACTCAGGAGGCAGAGGCAGGGGGATCTCTGTGAGTTCAAGGCCAACTGGTCTACAAAGCTACACAGAGAAACCCTGTCTCAAAAAGCAAAAACAAAAAAAAAACATAGTTGTGGTAGGATCTATCATTAAATTTAAAAATTATATACATAATATTTTATGTATGGTATATATTATAATGTAATTATTCTCTCAGAGAGACACAAGCAAAATGACAGCACAAAGGAAGAACAATTAATCTCTCAAAGAAGGGTTTAGAAGAACACTGGTGGGGAGGAATGCAGGGAGGGGAGGGAGAGGGAGCTGGGATTGCCACGTGAAACAAACTTGTTTCAATTTAAAAAAAAAAGAAGAAAAATAAAAGAACACTGGTAAACTGTGGGTCAGTCAAAAATTAAGTTGAAAGTGTATGTGTCTGTGTATGTGTGTGTGTGTGTGTGTGTGAGAGAGAGAGAGAGAGAGAGAGAGAGAGAGAGAGAGAGAGAGAGAGAGAGAGAGAGAGAGAATGGGAGAACATAGTGAGTTCTTAATGCTTGATTTAGTAATGGTACACTTATGCAAAAGCAAGCCATCAGGTCAAACATGTCTCTGTTTTGTTCATGTTTTCTTCAGGAAGTAGAGCACTTTGGTAACCCTTATGAAATAAAAATGTAACTTAGATAAGCTAAGGTTAATTTTCATCATGTAAAAAAATGACAGAAGGAGCAGCCCGTTACTGTCTTTAATGTTTCTATCAGCCCCTTTTTCTAAAAAAAAAAAAAAGATCACTCCGACCAACCTGACAGCTGCACACCATCATCTTCTCCACTCTCCAGATTTAAGAGGGCATTCTCCAGGATCTGAGCTGTGCTGATGATAACATCGTAAGATTTGACAACTTCTGGAAATGATATTTTCAGCTGGGTATCGCCACTTAATCCAATAATGCGATACCATTTCTTCAAAAATGGGTTGAACTCTTTGCGGAAAAGTTGTTCGGCTAACATCACCTTTAAGGAGGAGAATATACTGAGATTTTAGAAACCCAGACAAAACAGAGAGAAAAGCAAAGCGAAAGACAGAGGAATATCAGTCAAAGGACTGTGTATGGACTGGTAAGAGAAATGTTTGTATTGAATCAGTTAATTTGAAATTACCATTTATACATCATTCAATCTATTCATCTGACATTAAATACTCACCGTGTTTGCATTAAATGTAGACACTGCATCTAGAACATAAAGGTATTTAAGATAAGGCTAATGACAGAGCAACTCAGTTTAGCTGAGCACATATTCCAGAGATCATTCGTTCTTAGTGCCTGGGATGCTGCTAGAGGCTATTGGACTCTAAGAGTGGAAAGAGAACCTGGGCAGTGGCATCATACATGTGTTAGGACAATGTGTGGGATGGGAGAGCATGAACTACAAGGATGGCTTTGGCGTCTGCATTAAAACAAAGTAGCAAGCAAGGGTGAGCGAGGTAGTAATTTTGCTTCCCTTCCAGCCAACACTGCATGTTGCCATATCTGGTGACAGCAGCCATTGAAACCCCAGTGACACCTCCGCATTTCAAGTTACTCAGAATACCTCCAGGACCAAGGCAGAGATGAGCTAGTCTGTCTTATTTTTAAATTTTGTTTACTTTTCTTTGAGAAAGGGTGCTATCACTTAGTCCAGGATGGCCTTATATACCCTATGTAGCTGAGGATGACCTTGAACTCCTGACCCCTCTGTCTCTACCTCTTCAGTGCTGGAATTCCAAGCATGCACCACCAAGCATGAGTTGTGCTGTGTGCAATGCTTAGATTTGACCCCCAGGCTTCCTGTATGCTATGCAAGTATTCTAACACCTGAATTTTATGGGCAGCCCCAGTCAGGCTACCTTAAAGGTTCCTGTTGCAGAATATTGTGTTACATTTGTTTCTGCTGTGGAATACTACTTTAACTGTGTAAAGGTGTGTTACATTTGTTTCTGCTACATTTGTTTAATTATGAAAAGATGTGTTGATGTTTTACCTTGCCTGCCTAAGGTACTTGATTGGTCTAATAAAAAGCTGAGCAGCCAGTAGCTAAGCAGGAAAGGGATAGGTGAGACTGATGGACAGAGAGAATAAGTAAGAAGAAAAAAATCTAGGCTCAAGATAGAAGAGAACAAGGGGGAAAGAGAGGGAGACGGGCCAGTGCCGCCAGCCAAACACAGAAGAAGCAGGAAAAGTAGGACATACAGAAAGAAGATGTAAAAAGCCCTGAGGCAAAACATAAATGAAGAGAAAGGAACCTGTCAAGTCGTAAGAGGATAAGCTGAGGCCGAGCATTCATAACTAATAAGAAGTCTCCATGTCCTGATTTGGGAGCGGGTTGGTGGCCGAGAAGAGAAAGTCCTGCTACAGGTTCCTTTCTAGGAGGATGCAAAGCAGAAGTCCAGGAGTATACACTAACAGCAAAGAGAAATTTGGCAGGAAGAAGTCATGCCCAGACTTCAGCACATGCAGATTCTATTTCTCATAATTACCATATTACCTGATAATTCACTCGCTGTTGGATAATCCTGAAACTCACTCTGGGTGGCATTGACTTCCTATGGAAGGACACAGAGAAAGCCAGATGCAAGTCTGACATGGCTAATTGGGAGGTGTGTGGTCCTTTGGAGCCTTTTCCTGAGATGTGACACAGTGCGTGCCAAGACTAATCAAGCCCAACTGCTACCCACTTCTGCTGAATCATATGGGGCTGCATTACAGCATCTCAAGGAACCTGGGATTTATCCCTCGTGATGTTGAAGCCCTAGATAGGAAGTGGAAAGTCTGGGAGCACAGGTGGTGTTTGCATTTCTCTCTGCACTTGAAGGCTATAACTTTGGAAAGGATGGAGACGAAAGGAAATGGTATTAGAGACCAGGATTTCTGTATTCTAGATTAAAAGTTATAATACCTTACTATTGGGCTAGGCTAAACATGAATATGCTGTTTTACTAAGTCAGAGATTTCCTGACGAAAATAATTAAAGCTGAAGCCACTTTACATTTAAAAACTTACGGCAATCATTTATGATGTAAATAGAGAGCTGGTGGGAAGACTTGGTAATCTCAAGGAAAAAGAATACGAAAGACAGCACCGAGTAATGCTCTCAATGCTCATTCCATGGAGAAATGCCATCTGATAAATCCAGATTTCATGTGTGCAACTCAAAAGCTTTGATGTTTAACGGGAAATGTTCGGTCACTCTATGAAACACAAATAGCTATCAGTAGTGGAATATCTTTGTTTAGTCCCCTAGCTTTTGAAAATAGCCATGAAGTACTTGGACCTGCAGTACCTAGCTCACAGCCTATGCTAAAGCTGATGCAGGATCCATCCACACAAGCCATAGAGAACAAATAAAATTTGCTTTGATTCTGAAAAGAATCCAAATGGATCTAAATGATGAAAATTATAAACATTAAATGTTATAATTCTCATTATAAATTTATATGCATGTATAAGAATTACCTACATGTTATGGGTTGAAACATTCCCAGCTAGAATAAATCATCAAGCAGCCATGATAGACTATTATTAAATTAGATCAAGGACTGGAGAAGTAACTTGGCAGTTAAGGACACTTGCTACTCTTCCAGAGGACCCAGATTCAATTCCTAGCACCCAGTTCACAGCTCTCTGTAACTCCAGTTTCAGAGGATCCAGCACCCTTTGATGGCCTCTATAAGCGCCAGGCATGCATGCACAGACACACAGGTAAGCAAACATTCATACAGGTAAAATAAAAAATAGATCTAAAATGATCAAATCACATGAATAAGAAAAACACTTGGGTGCTCACACTGAAGCTTGAAAACTAGTTGCAGAGAAATAAATTTAAAAGGTTTTAGCTTAATGTGTACTCAGATGAAAAGGAGCCAAGGACTGTAAGCTGATAGCAAGGCGTAGCTAATGTCAAAGTCCATGATGTACAAATGTACTTGGCCCTAGGCTGGATGTCTGCCTCATCTCTCCTTCACATTCCTAAGACTGAATCTACAGCATGTTTTCCAACTCTAAATACTGTGTCTGAGAGAACTCCAGATCTTGAAGGGCCTGGGAATCATGCTGCATGAATAATGAAAGGATGCTGCCATTTCAAAGCGGGGGTATTAGGTTTATGCCCCAGAATGACCGAGGAAAGAATGACCATGTGTTCCATAGAACACATATGTTTTGGGCAAATGCACGAATGGATGTCCCTGAGTGGCAAGTGTGGGAAGAATGTCTGTGGTTATTTTGAAAGACGGGAGGTTATCCTTGGTATGAGGCACTAGCCAGCAGAAGCGACATATCTCTCTGCAAAGGAGGCAAACTGCATCACAAAGATCCTCTCAGCTCTAATTGTCTATGATCCTATGACCAGATAATGGAAATTAGGGAAGGAAACGAATGAAAAATAATAACTGGGCTTTGAAGGTTCATGGCGTGGATGAGGTGGCAAAATGTAACAGAGACAGAAAAATGGGGAAAAGAACCTGTGAAAGGGGAGGTTATGAGGCTCAGATTCAGAAAATGGTAGAACTGCCCCGAAAGAAACAACGGTGTCAATGTAAGTGTCTCTAAGTGCCTGGACTCATTTGACAGCATTATTTTTTTTTCCTATGGACCCCTATAGGACTCAGTCCTGTCCCATATGTAAAGTATTTGATTTCAATAAGTTCCATGTAAGAAAGATATGCAAATTTAGAGCCATTATTAAACTTTTTAATATGTGAGCATATTTGTGTGCACTCAAACATACACAGAATCTAATTTTAACTTCAGAACTTGGAACCTAATTTGACTTTATAGACTAGACAACTAAAAATCTAGAGAAGGTTCAAATTTGTCTAATATCAAAAAGCTGGTAGGTAAAAATAGGCTTTAAACTTACTATACTGAAAAAGGGAATAAATGAAAGGTTTTGGGCAGCAGCAGCAAAAGAAAATCAAGAATATCTTCTTCCAGTGTGTATAAGGCTGTAGAGGCATCACGTCCCTTTGTTTTGTTTTGGAGGTGCTGGGTTTCAAGCCCAGAGCTCTTCCACTGAGCCACACACCCATTTCGAGGAGAGCACTCTGGACTCAGAAGTTGCACACACAAGCATCGTGATGAAAAAACAAATCACTAAAGCTTGGATTCTGCCTGCATTTTTCAGTATGCCAAGCAGCTTTCAACTGAAAATTTTAGAAATAATCCAACTCTTAAAAAATACAAAGTTTTAAAAGTCTTTTCTGCTAACGAATATACAACAGTAAGGAAAAAGCCATTGTTGTTCATGAAAAACACACTAAATTTTATTTTATAGGCTAGGAAAACTTAATAATCCTAATCTACAAATGTATACATTCTCATCTATTTAAATAAAATTCAAATAAATTTTGTTTATAATGTTAATATGAAGGTGGGTTTTGGGCCTTCAGAAGATATACCTTTTCAAAGAGAAGTTCACTGGCATTTAATGTCACATATATTTGCATAAATTCTTTAACCATCATTCGCCTATTTAACAAATATAGACAAAATATTCAGTTGATTTTCTCTTTGGCTTTCAGTCACATTCTGTATGTTCTGGATAAAGGTGATGTTTGGTTAAGGATTAGTGGCTACAGGAACTTTAAAGGAAGGCACTTGATCCTAGATTCCAGGGACATTTTCAGGTCACACACGCTCTCATTCATGGCCTTACACCGTGTGTTAGAAACTTTAATTTTTATCTACAAGTTAGGACAACGTTATTTAATGTTGTAGTTTTAAATTTTAGGTATATAACTTAAAGGGGAAATTAAAATAAATGGTTTCTTTGACATTACACAAATCTGTGTGATTTGTTGCTACAAATGTTATCGTCTGAAAGATTTAGAATAATGAAACAAAAATAAGAGCATTGAAGCAAAGGCAAAGTACCTTATTGACAAGGACCATAACCTTCCCGGACTCAGAGGCCTGCTTCTTCTTGTCTAAGTGATCTTTGGTGATGTAAACAGCCACTCTGGTCTTCCCACTCCCCGTGGGAAGGCAGATAATAATATTCTTCCCTTCCAAAGCTGGTTGGGCCACTTCCATTTGGTAAGGTCTGAGCTGCAGTTCTGGCTCCGGGGATGCTCTTTGTGTCCCTGCTCTTTCATCTGAGGGAAGTAAAACAAAGAAACAACATCAGAGACAGGGCAATGAAGAAACATAAGCCGGAAACTGCACACAGGTTTCTGGTGATTTAGGTTCCTTGCCTCTGTGATCCAAGCTAACCAGTTTCCTATTTTCTGTACCAGAGAGTATCAGCTTTGTCTTCGGGACATCATCTAGGTTCCCTGCTATGGAGTGAAATAACAGCACGGAGTCCTTGGAGAGGAGACGATATGGGAAGACCAAGGAGAGGGCACATTCCCTTTGGCTCTCAGAAAGGCTGCAGTATAGGCTTGTCAGTTCCCATTGTTACCGTACCTGGTTTCTCCTAGTCCTTCCACCTGTAAACCAAGAGGAGGTAGAAAGGCAAGAATGAGTAGCTCTCGCTTTCATTTTATTTTTTTATTAAAAAGAAGGGAAAACAGCAGCTGGAACTCCTTACTTAATTTGCTAAAATATCACCTGGCAACGAAATGCCATGAAGTATGTACCTGCTGTCATCTACTGGTATCTGTGGTGCTTTAGGAACTCAAGGCCTGCATATAAACTGGGAACATTACTTGCGCTGAGTGTGCATACATATCTTCTTACAAAGGGTCTCTATTGACAAGCCTGATATAGTGTAAATGTTATTTGTAAAATGCTATTATTATTGCTGAAGATGTAATGATGAAATATTTCTGTGTGTTCAATACAAATTTTAAAATATAGTTTGGATACACAATTGTGTATGTGGCACTAGTGGACACGGAGGGCTGCTTCTGTGTGTGAGAGACTGAGACAGAGAGACACAGAGAGCAAGAACACACACACACACACACACACACACACACACACGCACAGAGAGGGGAGAATCTTTGGCATTCAAGGCAACTAGATTATACAGCATATTTAGGAAACAGTTGGACAGAGTTTTCTATACTGGCTTTTAACTGATAAATGTTGCCACCAAAATATAAAACGTAATTGTGCAGCTTTACATTAAATTGTCATGATTTTTACCATGCATTTTTAAATTACTATTTTATGACTCCCTGATATGCAAGTCACCATGCATTTGTTCTCATGACACCCAAAGCTAAATATATTACAAGTAGTTCCATAACACACATTTTTAAATAAATAGACAGACAGATAGATAAATACATGCTAATAGTGATTTTATAAATTCTAGAATAATCTTACTGTAACATATCTTGGTTTAAATGTATGTTGCTCAGAGGTGACCATGTTTTCCCATCTTATTAGCCGAGAGGAAAGGCTCTAAAAATGCATTGCTTACAGCATGGAATGTATTAAAATAAATATTTTTCCAACTTAAGCGTCCACCTGTGCTTTAAAGCATCAGAAAAGATGAAGTGACCGCTTATCAGTATTTCACCACCCATGAGATGCGTGCTCACTCCCTTATCTATGATCCCAATAAAGCTAAGCCAACACCGTCCCATTAACTTTTAAAAAAAAAAAACTTGCTGACATCTCAGTTTCCACAAACTGTTGATCCTCTTTGAGTGGGCTTTAACTTGCTGAGAGAGAACTAGCTGAATAGGTAGGAAAATTCACACCAAATACCACTTAGTAAGAACCATCTACAGAGCAAGCAGGATGCTTGCCTTCTACGCATGACTAACCACAGATGTAATGCATTTAAGCTGTGGATGAATCATCTGCTGAGTCATTTAATAGGTTTTTTATGAAAAACATCTCACAGATCATCAGTGTTTTGAGTTCACGTCCCATTAAATTTCTATAAGGCTCAGGTTTATTTAATGATATAACAATAACATTTTGTTTCCAGGGAATGACTTCTACGGATAATGAAAATCTTCATGTTTCATTTCTACTAAGAGCATTTATTACCCATCTTTTCCCCCAAAGAGCTAGAATATTTATAACGAAAGACATAATTTAACAGTACCTAAAATCAAGATATGAAATTTTATACCAATAAATTCTCTGTTAATTTTTCTCTATCAAAATTTTGGTATAGATTAGAAAACAATAAAATGTTGCATTCCTGGTAGCAATTGTATATACTTGTTAGTAATAATTTCCCCCTTTCATTGTTAGGCTTTCTGGTATCTCTTTTGGCAACAAGACTTAAAGAGAAACATGATTTTCTAGGTCTCTTTTGTAGAAACCCAAAACTCGGATAAAAATGAATGTCCTCTCAGTGTTGCTTATGCATGTGTTAGAGTTGAATATGAAGTGACCCCAGAGTCCCCTGTGTTTCCTCTGCAGCAGGTACCTCTGCTTGGGGAGGGAGCTTTGAAGGTTGGGTCTCGCTGGAAGAAGAGAGTAACTGGACTGAGGCAAGGGGAGCCTTTGAGAGTTATAGCCTGGACAAACTTGTTTCCTGTTAGGCTGCCATAGAAATAAACTAGACAATTCACTCTCCAGCTTCTACATCCTCCAGCCCCATGCCCCACCAGCATGCTGTCTGTACCATCACAGATTGTATCCTCTGAACCACAGGCTAGAGTAATTCTTTCTTCTCCTAAGTTGTTTCTTGTCAAGAGAGTGGTTATGTGATGAGAAAAGTAACCAATACAACATAGTGTGGTTTTATTGTATCATTATAACTCAGAAGGATTCGAAGAGTCAAATGGCTATCATTTTAAAGGTTTAACTCCACAGACAAAGTTGAGGTTCATTGCCACTGAACTGGTCTTGTGCCACAAATTCATTCTGTAGGCTCCTATTGCACACCACATCCTGTCAAAATGATGTTGCTTCTCAAATGACCTCAGTATAGGGAACTATACTGCCCCACCTAATTATCAGTTAGATAAATAGATAGTCGTATTTATTTTTGAGTCAGGACTAGGAGGTCTAGGGGGCAGCCCAGAGATTTAAAACAGAAAATCAGAGAGAATTCAAGAAGAAAAAAAAATTGGATTCAATGCTAGAACAGCATCCAAAGAAAAAATGCTGGGTTAGTGCTAAATATTCTGCCTGATTCTTGCCTTATCACATCTTCTGACACAGGGATGGAAAAATTTATCCATATAAGCAATGAAAACAGAGTTTCATCTTCTCTGTCACCAGAAGGAGAAAGCTGGGCTGGAATCAATGAGCCAAAGCTAGTATCAAGGAAAAGTGAAATGTTTGGTTTTGCTTTGTTTATTTATTCTTGGCTCACTCTGATGTAATCAATATAACCCAATTATGTAATCTATAGAATGTAAATTATAATCCACTAAACCCAATCATATAATCCATGTAACCCAAATTATAATCAGTTAAACCTAGTAATGAAGGTGGTATTAAAACCACTCACAGGCTTTGAAGTATGCTGCACATTCCCCTTAAAATAAAAGCCAGGTGATCTTTAAATTATACTACAACATGTAAATGGTCAAAAAGGAAATGAAACAGGGTTTAAATAATACTATGCTATTGAAGCTACAGCATGTGGCAAACTTCATTCTCACATGGGTTTTGACAGCTGAGTTATTCTTGGAGAGGAAAGGTCTGCCACCGCATGTGTCTGAAATCGACAAAGCATCCTTTTACCTATAGTGTGTAACCATGGGGAAAACACACTCCTATTGGACAAATATTAATAGACATCTTCTCAAAATAGCAGGAGGCACATTCTCCATATCAGGTCAATATGGATTGACAAAAAGTGCCACTGCTTTGAGGAGCAATGTATCTTTCTAAAAATAGGGGAGGAGAAATCTTGTCACCTAATTAGACTACGTAAACTTGAAAAGTGCCAGCAATCACATTCTGCTATAGTGTGGTAGCTCTCTGAAGATAATAATACAATTGCCTTTGGTTCTCATTATGCTACTTTGGAAGGGGGATTAAGGATGTGTGGATTAAGGTACCTTATGGTGTCAGCCTAGAAGGTGAAAACAATTTCAGCTCTTACAGTATTAAGTAATCCAGTACTTTAAACTCTCACCAATTTACCAAATGCTTTTATTAAATGACTTCTATACAGTTTTAGTATGCAGTCGGGGGTTAAATATTTCATAAATGTTATCATTTCAGGATTTTACTGGCCACTATACAAAATCATTCTTTGCTCTTAAACACTCATCCATCTAGACCCTGAAGGGCATCCCTGGAAAATGTGCTTGCCTTTAAAAATGTTATTTGCTTTTAAAAATGTATTTGCTTTTTAAAAGTAGGTTGTGCTCAGATTTATCACGTCTTTCATGCCACACTGAAGACTAAAAATCAGCAAATACATTTGCTAACAGCTCTAAGTAGGCAAAATGCCCTGCAAATAGAGGATGTGTTTTAGATATTTATTGAATGAATGAATATTGTTGAAAAGCCCTTCCTTAGACAAATACAAATCAGGATAGGGCAAAGCAGCTTTAAACGACCCATATGGATCATAACTATCAGCTAGAGTCTATTTAGAGTTCTAGCTTCGGTGACACACAGCAGAAGTGGTTAGCTTTCAATTTAACTCTTTCAGAACAAAGACAGAAAATCAAATTTGATCCGTGTGGAGAACTTAACAATGATGGCACTGAACAGAAAATGAACTGATCCTCTTTAATGATGAAGTCATGACTGACAGTTGGTGAGCCGTCATTCCTCACATTAACCTGTAAAAGATGCAGAAGTGCAACTGGGAGGGAAAATATATTTGTATGTAGGCATGTATGTATGTGTGTATGTATGTATGTATGTATGTATGTATGGTGTAATTACACTTCAAAAGCTTTTAAGGCAAATAACCTTGCTTATGCAAAAGTCTTTTTCCCACTGCTGATCTATATTTTTAGAAATCTGGTCATGCAGAACAGTACTTTCTAAGTAGAAACAAACCCATCACACAAAGAATAAACTAACTTATTCTTTAATGTGCCAGTTTTCCTTTGGTTCCCTAGCTGGTTCATTGCCAAATAGTTTCATTTATTAATTCTTGCAAATGCATTTTTTCAAAGTTTTAGACAAACACAGAAAGGCGAGTAGTAGACATCAATAACTCATCGGCCACAGCTGAAAGATGTTAACCCTCTAGCTCTTTGTAGCCACACCTTTGATAGACAGAATGGGATAATTTGGATCAATCACACTGACAAGTTAGGAAGTCTAATAAGAGGAAGTACTGATGGGGGGGTCTCACTGGAAGCAGGCGTTCTCACTTCCTGCAGGTGTGAGAGGCAGCCAATATGGAGAACAGTATGGGCGATACCTCCTCAAGTTTTCATTTAGTGATCAAAATGCTATCTATGCTCTGCTACTGTTACATCCAAAGCAGAGCTAACTTAGCTCTATGTGTCCCTAGACTCTCGTTTTTAAAAGGCACTCTGTTTATTGCCTGTAGTCACATTGCATTTACTGGAAGTATCAATTTTCTGTCTGAGGACATTTTAAAATAACAAATAATCCAGGAAGGGGTAAATATACCAAACTGCACCAAGAGTTTAGGCGCAGTTAAAATGAATTGAGACAGATCTCATGAAAGAATAGAAGACATGATTCTATGAAAGGTGGCTCATGCCTGACCAAGATCAAAACTCGAGTTTCCTCGTAAGACTTGAGCAAGTTATACTGTTAAAGAGAGTAAATGGCAAAGTTCCAATGTGACTCGCTGTTGGAAAAAAATTGCCTTAATTGCATAAATCCATTAGGGAGGCTATGAGCGGCCCCCATGCATTCCACTATATGGTGTCTTATTTCACACTCTTTCAGGTTTACACAACGGTTCGGCAGTACCTGAATCACTTCCCACGATGCCTGAATCGCTGCCCATGTTGCTGTTATGTCCAAGACTTTCGCCTAAGCAGCTGACACTCCCTGCTGCCAAACTTGTGTCTGATTCTGCAAAGGAAAACATTTTAAAATATTTAAAAAATATTTCTGAGAATAAGCGTATTTTAGCTGCACACCTCTACAGCACACAGTACATGCAGCTCAGTGCAAGTGGGGAAGGCACCCCCAAGTGAGTATGAATAAAAGGTAAGAATTTCTCACGGGCTACCCTGAAAACATTCCACCAGGGATGAGCAGCTGCCGGGAATGACTCAAACCCGCGTTACCTGCCGACAGTAACACCCAGCAGGAAAGAAAATGTGAATTCCTACACATTTGGGTTTGAATTATGTATCTCACCTGTACACATATATTTTGTCTCCTGGAAGGAACTTCTAAGCTCAGTAGCGTCTTTTAAACACAAATCATTATAGAAACCAGTGGGCTGTTTGTGGATGGTGATGGTGGAATGAGGAAAGGATAAAATTTAATGAGTTATGCAGACCTACTGACCAGTTATGAAATTAACATTTCAGAGATAAATAAACATGAGTTTAAAAACCTCTACAAGAATCTTCTCAAAGAGGATATGACTGACGTTTGGCATCACATTTGCTAGAGTCTGGAAATGTTTCTCTTTGCTATAATTATATGAAGCCGCCATCAACCGAGCGTGTGAATGGCAAGTGTGTATGCCCTTCACTGAATCCCAGTGTTGCTTTTTGTAGTCGGGGTCATTCCTTTTTGACATCCTTTTTTCTTATCGCTTATCTCCAAAGATGTACGCAATCTCATTGTCAAGGATCAGAACTAACATTAAATATCAGGGCACAGGCGTTCTTGAAGCTGACTTTGGAATCAGGAAGATCTGTGAAACTTGCCGCTTAGGTTGGTCTAACCCTAGGTCCCTTTTATGTCAAATGGCTGTAGTATCATTTACCTTTTTTTGAGTTGACAACTACTGGGCAATGCTAGACACAATGACTTGATGGCAGAAGATCTGAATTGAAATGAAAATCAAACCATTGGTATATTGCTGGGGCAGGCATTCCATTTTGTAATGTTCCTATAATTAATTCTATTTTATAATATTTATAATTTGTCAGGCAATTTTCGTTTCTTCTTAAGGCTTTTGAAACAATAATAAACTATGTTAAGATACTGTCAGTAACTGAAAACTACTATCAGTGCCACATTTTTTAGTACTGAAACAGAAGTAGAGGAAAACGTACAGCTGAACATCATCAGGATGTTCTTCAAGTGCTTTACCATTCCGAGTCAGATGAATACAGCTTCAATTTGATCACTCCTTCGTTGTTAATGAGTTTGACAAGTGTCTTCCCTTCTGCTACACCGAAGTCCTCTCTATCACCTTGCAAGTCCCCTCCAGCTTCTTTGTTGCCAGTGCCTTCGCTGTCTCCTGGCAGTCAGTGGTCTGGTTTCTGGTCTCACTGCTTTTACCCTTTCCAGAGTGCCATGTAAGTGGATCTGTGGAGCATTCAGCCCTCCTTTGACTTAGGGTACCATATCTGAGAGCCACCCATGCTTCGTGTGTTATCGGTGACTTCCTGCTTTTTGCTGTCCCTATGGAATATGTTCTTGACATGGAAGGCATCTCCTACAATTTAATTAAGTCCATTTAGGTTGGACGATATCATGGAACTTCAGCCCATGTGATCTACCAAACATGTTAGACACCGCCCTTAAAAATCAGAAGCTGAGAGGGAAAAAAAAAGTTGTACAAAAACTCTCCATGGACATACATACTGTTTAAGTATATTAGCACAACATAAATACACTAATGTGAAAATACTGTGCTTATCAGTTGTCATAGATTAGCTCTGGAACTCGGATTTGAGGAGTCCCTCATGATCACACGGGGAAACCTGGGTATCTCACAGAGAGATTTTAAATATGGCACTTTGCAATTCCCAGAGGTATGTCTTGTTAGAGACTCAGAGGCGAGTGTGGGATAGAACTGTCAAGTCTGAGAGCGTTTCGGGCAGATGTACTGATGAAAAGAGAATATGATTTGTAAGGAAAAGGCAAGGTGTAAAATGAGATGGGAAAATGTCATTGCGAAGATAATTCCAGTTCTAGACAGATAGGCCAAGATTTCTGTAGCAAAAAAGTAAATTTCGACATGCTCTCCACTTGTTATTTTAAATGTAGAATTGAGAGCTGAAGAGTATACTAAAGTACCTGGGAAGATGCCAATAAATACAATCTAGAAATTGAATGCTGTTACCAACAAATTTTCCAGTGAGTATAGTGCAAATGGAAATAATATCTGATTTTCCACTTTATTTTCTAATTATTAGGATTTGAACCATAAACTTAAACTGACTTTTAGTGTATGTAAAGTCAAGATTTCCCCCAGCTTTGTTTTAGCACACATAAGTTTGGGGTGGAGGATTTATCCAGCGTGTACAAAAAAAGTACTAATAATAATGTTGCTACCATATATTCAGTGTGATTAATTTCATTATTTGGGTTATGTAGATGTCATAATCAAGTGTGCATTTTGTCAGAACACTGAGCTCAGAGCTTTCCCAGATATGAGGCAAATTGTGATGTATCATGGTCTGCAGTAACTACTCCCATCAAATCTCAATTGTATAGGCGAGAAACCAATATTCAGAGCGGTTAAATGATTTATCTATGTTACCCAGCATCTCAGGGCTTTTTTACCAGCATCAAGCATGGACCATGCTTGTGTGAAGCTTTGAAAGCTCTTCATCCTTGGTGCTAAATGAAATGGAACTCACTTTTAAAAAACCGTTCTCCTTGTAGTGTCGCATCTCCCGAGAAACGAGCTAGAGAGATGTTTGCACTTTGCTAATATCCCTGACTCGTGGATGGACACAAACTTTCTACTCACTCATCTACACTTACTTGGCACACATTTTAAGCAGGGACACCTCTGTCTTCACAGCACAAAATCAGCCACAGGAACTCTGTTAGAGATCTCTGCAACAATAACAACGAGAGCAGAGACCCCTATTGCTTTACCATTTGAAGTGGATCTTTAAATGACAAATCTTCACCTCCTCACAAAGGGAATGCAGTTTCCTAAGCAAATTTTTGTGCACTTTTATTTGTTCTTTCATAGAAATAGAAGTTTTAAAGAAAATAAACTTAATAATAAAGAAAACAGTGTATCTTCAATAACACTGAAAGAGCCTTCCCCTTCCCTGCAGATTTTCTGGTTGAATTAAAAAAGAAAATCTCTCTTGAACACAGGCAAGCACGCACACACGCAAGCACGCTCCTCCAGAAAAAGTGACGTCAAGAAACGTGTTGTGTTGCAAAAGAAAAAAAAAAGAAAACAAAACAATGTTTTAAGTTTGTAGCAAACACCAAATTGCTACAACTGATTTACTCAGGATTCTCCTGTTTTGTCTTCCTGCTTTTCAAGACATGGCAGTCTGGTAGGTCCTAATATCCAAAGTCATATATGACATACAAAACAGAGGGGCTGTTGGGGGAGGCAGAGCTTTGCCATGAAGAGCTCATGTGCTTTGGAGCCCAGCGAGGTTCCCCGATCTGAATTCAGACACCACTCCAAGATGGATTGCTCTTATTTAAAAGCATAGATAGTAGCTTCTATAAAGTTTATTGTAGGAATGATCCTTTTAAATCAGGGAATAGAGTTTCAAACAGAAATAAGCCCAAATTTGTGTAGAGCTGCATTGGATATTGGAGTCATAGTGTATAATGTGTTTAATTAACTTTTACATATGTCATTTTGCTCTAAGTGAATTACCAAAGCTAGCTATGAAATAAATTTGAAAATGGCAGTCACTTCTATTAATATAATTGTCTAATATGAAACTCATTGGAACCAAAGAAAAATATACTTGTTCAATTAAAGAGGTAGAATGAATTTTCAAAATAAAAAGTTAAAGAGCAATAACTTCACAAATAAGATTTAAAAAAACAGCTTTGCTTACAATGACAGTAAATCTCTAAAAGGCTGTAAATCTTGGGTAGGGGCATATTTCTTGATTTTGAAAATACATTTTGAATATTTTGGTAATACTCAAAAATATTAGCTGGAATCTAAGAAATTTCGCATTTAGCATATTATATACCTTAAATAATTTTAAAATATTTCAAAAATCGTTTAGAAACCAGAAAATTTACAATAAAATATTGAAAGCGAAAACAGGGAAGGGGGTTGGTGAGTTTAGATTCATTTTCATGTAACGTCTGCCCTCTGCTGGGATGTACTGGTATAGCAAGCAATGAACAAATAATACTGGGTTTTCTTCAAGGAGCTGGGGCTTCCTTAGTTAAAACACAACTTTGCTTCCTTTTTTCTGTCCATGTAGACTTTCTCCTAGGCTAGAAACTTCCATTCTACACGCTCTTATCTTTTCACTCTTGCCGCAGTCGGTCACAGCTTCTGCTGGATGAAAAGCGGGAAACAAGGGCAGCAAAAAAAGGACCTCGGTGTACCTTGGTGAGAACAGTACTCCCTAGTCTCGTCTTCCGGGGGCTGGTGAGGACAAGGTCTACACCTTACCGAGCTTCGCCTTCCTTGGGCGTCTTACTTATGGCCTCACTGTGTACTTGAGCATCAGACCTATACCTTCCTAGCAGGTTCATAGTCCTCTTGTCAAAGACTATCTCGAAAGCTTGAAGCATGTCCTCATATTGGCGTACACACACGGCTGCACGGACCCGTTAACTGTGCTCACTTTCGTGCCATTAATAATGCATATTTTCTTTTCTTTAGAAATAACAATCTTTTCTTTGAGAGGAAATAGATTACTTTTATTTTCGGCTCTATGTATATGGATCTACACACACGCTCACATTTTGGTCTGTCATAGTTCGCTCTGTGTGCCAGGGAACATGTGTTCCCGCAGAATGGAGAGAAGCCACCTCCACCCACCTTGCATATTCGCTCCTGGATCCAAGCTTCTAGGAAATGAGTTCCCCAAAGAGAAAAAAAACTCTCTCTTAGAACCACAGGCCCACATGGCCATCCGTGGAGCTCCTCTGCTCCTGGTTATAGGATTTTTTTTTTTGTGCTGAAATACTTCAGCTAGAATTCAATTTGA